CCTAAAGAGGGTAAGAATGGTCTGGACCTGCAAAGTATTCTTGGGATTTGGAGATATTTACTCTTCTCCTGAGGCAAGGAAACATCACATGCTTTGGGACTGGGGTGGGACTAAAAAGTATGTTCAAAATAAAGAAGGAGGGAGGACACCTGGAGAGGAGAACACCTGAACTTCCCAACTCAATGGGTTAGGATTAGAAAGCATTTCTTTCTGAGAGCATGATCACAAGACATTTATATGTTTCATAGCACTAACCTTCTTGATGATCACAATACTCAAAATTCCATCTCCTGAAGATGCATTTTTACTGCTTCTGATGTCTAGAATGCATGCGCGAGCTCTGTCTCTCTGTCTCTGTCTCTCTTCCTTACTTCTTCTTGGCTCCCCCAGCTTCCCTCAAAACTTAGCTCAAGTCTCATCTTCTGCCAGAGACCTTTCCTTGTCCCCCTCACTGCCAGCACCTTCTCTCTGAGATTACCTTCAAGGTAATTCTTATATATCTTGTGTATACACACACACACACACACACACACACACACACGTATATATGTATAAGTACATATTCATATATGTATGTTGTTGCAAGTTTTCTGCCCTCTTAGAATCCCATGAGCTCCTTGTTGGCAGGTACTGGTTTTGCCTTTCTTTGTATTCCCAGTGTGTTTAGCACAGTGCCTGGCACGTAGTAATAAAGTTTAATATGTTAATTTATTTTAATAAATGCTTGATCTTATTTGATTTGACAACTTGAGTAAGATACCTCCAACAGTTGAATTACTTCTAACCTGGGCCTTTAAATCTTCCCCAGAAGACCAAAATCCTATAGTAATCCCTACTAATTTCAGGTGGAATGTGCCTCAAATTTTAAGCAAAAGGTTTTGACTCTGGAGCTAAAATTACATTAACAGGGGCCTTATCAACAACAAAAAAGTATTATCATTGTGCTGAATGATAAGCCCTAAAATTCACCACAACACAAATGTTTCAGAAGGCAGAGTTTTCTGGATTTTTTGGCAAGAGATTGGAAAAGTTACTCTTTTCCATATATAAAAAAGTTTAAAATCTTAATAAAATTATACTAATTTTGATTATCCTTTCTTTTTTGTTTCTTTCATGACTTTAAATGATTTCCTTTTTTAAAACATACTGATTTTTGCTTCAGAATAAAAATCTAAATATAGATGAAATCATAGAAAGTTTGGCCTTACAATGACCCCACAGGTCTTTTACATACCACACAAAAAATTTGACAAAAAAGATTTCTCTAACTCACATTAATTATGGATAAAAAGCTAAAATGGGGGCAGCTAGGTGGTGCAGTAGATAGAACACCAGTCCTGAAGTCAGGAGGACCTGAGTTCAAATCTGGCCTCAGACACTATAATACTCACTAGCTGTGTGCCTCTGGGCAAGTCATTTAACCCCAACTGCCACACCCAAAAAAAAAATCCGTCAATAAAAAGCTAATATATCAGGAACTAACCAGTGTCATGCTAAATAAAGCATATGTAAGCAACTAGTAGAGTGGATAAGACATTAGACTTAAGAGTCAGAAAGCTCCAAGTATCCCTAAGACACTTAATAGGTGTGTGACCCTGGGCAAGTCACTTAACCTTAGCACTTAGTATAGTGCATAGAGTAGGTACATAAGAAATGTTAAGTGACTGACAACCTCTCTGTTCCTCAGTTTCCTCATCAGTGAAATGAGAGGGTTGAACTTGATGGCCCCTAAGGCCCCTTTCAGGTCTGAAACCTACCCTGCTCTATATGATCATGAAAGCTATTTGTTCCTGTCATGAAAGATGGCCCTCACAAAGCCCAAATGATGAGGGATTTCCAATAGGTGAGATCCTCCAGATATTTCTGTTCTCAGATGATTCGATCTTGATTGCATCAAAGCCCAAAATAGTACAGGGCCTCTTCAATAACATATATCACCATTCAAAATGGTTGACCTAACACTGCATACAGGGACAAACTCAGGTGGCTAAAAAAATGCTCGCGGTCCAGACAATATACAACTGGACAGGCAAAGCTCGTCCATAGATGTATCTGAGACAGAGGCTTTGGATAGAAAATTTAATGAACTCAGAATTCAGTAGGAAGAAGGGTCTCTCCATGCTTTTCTGTATTTTTCATTTTCATAGTTTCTTACAGCACAGCAATATTCCATTACTTTCATATACCACAGTTTAGCCATTCTCAAATGGATGGGCATTTCCTTTGTTTCTACTTTGTTGCTACTACATAAATGCTGCTATAGATATTTTGAAGTCCAATTGCTCTCTGTCTCCAATCTCTTCCTTCTCCAATTCTTCCTCTACAGAGCTGCCAAAATGTTTTTCTATGTTACTCTAGTACTCAATTATCTCCTTTTTGGCATTTAAGGCCTTTCATGGCCTGGCTCCTATCTACCTTTTCCAGGATCATTATATAGGGTATCCCAAAACTTAAAATGGCACTAAGACTTTTAGGACACCCTGTACCTAACTCCCTTTCACACTATGGTCCCTCTAAACTGGCCTTATTACAGTTTCACATATGCCATTCCAGCTCCCATATTTCTATACTTTTTCACAGACCCTTCCCTCCATGCTTAGAATGTACTTCCCTTCTCTTGGTACTGAGTTTCCTTTAAAGATCAACTCAATGCTTACCTTCTCAATGAGGGTGGGTGGGGAGGGAGGAGGGGAGAAAATTTGAAACCCAAAGTTTTAAAAACAAATGTTAAAAATTGTTTTCAAGGGGCAGCTAGGTGTCGCAGTGGATAGAGCTCTGGCTTTGGAGTCAGAAGGACCTGAGTTCAAATCTGGCCTCAGACAGTTGACACTAGCTGTGACACCCTGGGCAAGTCACTTAACCCCGACTGCCTCACCAAATAAAAAAACTGTTTTCACATGCAACCGTGAAATAAGATATACAGGCAATGGAATATAGAAATCTATCCTGTCTACAGGAAAATAGAAGGGGAATGGGATAAGAGAAGGGGTGGGGGACATAGAAAGGAGGGCAGATTAGGGAAAGGGGTATTCAGAATGCACACTGTCTTGGGGTCGGGGGAGGGACGAGATGGGGAGAAAATTTGGAACTCAGAATCTTGTGGAAGTGAATGCTGAAAACTAAAATTACAAAAAGATCAACTCAAGCATTGCCTTCTATATGAAACCATTCCTGATTCCTTCCCCCTACCCCCCCCAGCCATTAGTTTATTACCGCCCCCCCCCATTATTTTCTATTTTACTACTGTACTTTGTATACAGTCTCTACTTTCCTTCAGTACCGCACTTGGTTTAGATCCCAGGGAATAAGATGCCCCACCCAGAATAAGCAGATCACCTGAAATCCCATCATCATGCTGATTAACACATTTGGATACTCAGCCCCTCCTCAACTCAGTCTTCCCTCCTCTCTGACTGGAGGGTAGAGCACCAAACTTCTCCTAAAGCTTTCCTTTATGGAGGGCAAGGATCTTGACCTTTCAGCTAACTCTCCATTAGTAGCTTTGCCTGGTTTGGATTCCAAGGAACATGATACCCGATCCTCCCCTACTCCCTCCAGCTTTCTTCAGAGCATGGTTTTTCCCCATTAGATTGCAAGCTCCTTAAGGGCAGGGACTGTTTGTCTTTTTATTTCTATTTCCAGCACTTAGCACAGTGCATGGCTGAACTGAATTGAACTGAATGTGTATGTGATCTGGGAATCTTTGATCAAGACTATTCAACTTCATCAAATTGCAGAATGTAAGGGAAAATGAAGTGTTATGGTAGCTGAGGCTGCACCTCATAAAGGATGCACTCTTTTGGTTTTTGAGAGGACCATTTTGTGTCTTCTAAAAGGTGTTAAGACTTCAAATAATTCACACCGAGCAACCTCTGTGCAGATAGTAAAGTGAAGTGCAAAGAAGTTATTATACTTGTTGTGTCTATCCATTGGGTAAAACTATGTGGTCAAAAGCCATTGGAAGGCTGAAGGATCAGCCAGCTTCTGTTTCTGTTTCAAGAAGCCAGTCAGCTTTGCAGAAAGGACACCCCTTTTTAAGCAGTCTGTTGCTGGGGCTAACACTTGCCAGTTGAGAAGATAGCCAGCTATGGAAGGAGAGCCCAGATCTTCAGAGAGAATTGCTTTTCCACCTTTTCTCCTGCAACTCTTATGCAGTTTTGTTTAGGGAGGTGGGAGAGGGGTAGAGGGGTTTTTCTCTTCTTCTACCATCAGTAAGGCTTCATTGACATGGTGAGGAGGGAGGCGGCAAATCCCCTTCCCCTTCACCACTGGTATAGTATGTACCAAAGGTAGAGGAATAAACAAAGATGAAGCTATATTTCATCCAGCCTAAAACTGTTCAAATTCTAAGTCTATTCCCAAATCCCCACTCTTAGAGAAGGTGCATCTAGAAGTAGACCAATCAATTAATGGCACAAAATATTGCAATTAATCAAGGGCCATGGATACGTTGGATGCATACTGTATGCTCATATATACTGGTGAGGAAAAAGATGAAAAGATATTATCACTATTATAACATTTTGTTCTTTGTCGACAGAGAACTTGAATGTAACAATGCTGAAATACCAAGATTTACAGAAGTTTCTGTAAAAAGTAAAACACTATGATTTATAGGTAATGAAAAGATAGCCTGTGTTGATGAAATCCCAGATGTTCTGCTTTTCAACAAGGGAAAATAGACAAGTTTTAAAATATTTGTCCAACTTTATAAAGGCTGATGAACAATAAGCTGAACTATTTAGAAACATACTCAAAATCTGCAAATACCTGAAAAAAAGAGACAAATTTATCTGAAGCCAAAATATTTCTCACTCCTTTTGTATTTTTTAAATTTTATAAAAAAAGGAAATGTTAAGATACATATTTCTAAGTTGTGAAGAAAATATTTTGTTGCTGAGTAGCAGTTTTATTTTTTGATAACAGTTGTAAAAATAGACAACTTTGTAGGCATTTAGTTAACTCAAAAATATTCATTGTACTCTATTAAAACTTACACATTTACAGAAGATAAAAGCCATGTATTTACAAATATTTTTATCAAATCACATATAACATTCTTATTTCACATTATGGGCCTATAACTGAAATGAAGAAAAACTCACATATTGGCCAAAACAAAAAAACCAAAAAAACCAATAAATCCAAACCCCATAAACTTTTTAGGAAAGCTTCTAAAAAGAGATAATTTACCAAATGATTACCCTGAAAGGTTAAATTTACTTTACAAAAGTAAACATTTTCCCCTAACTTTGGTTAATGTCAGGATTACACTCTACCCCATGGATTGATATTAGCAATGCATGGTAACATCATTTTGGTTTCTTCTTACCTCTTCGTTATAAGTATTGAAAAAAGGGAATCCTTCAAACAAAGCACCTTTCCTAAGTAAGATTTTAATATCAATCAGAGTCAAATATTAATCTCTTACAGATGGTGGGAACAATTAAAGAGAGAAGGTACAACATGTAGCACTACAGAGGATTCCTATGAGAAGCAATTCAATTGTCTTCCTCCCATTACAAGTTCTTTTTTGCTTCTGATTTTTCATCCATTAGATCTTTAAATCCCAGCTTTTCCAGTGATTCTTGTGCCATTAGCTGCCTAAGAAACAAACGAAAACGATTTTTAAAAAGCATCTTGAAAACTTTTCTAATATAGTGCTACATTGGTGTATATTTGCTGGATGTAGTTCAATAATTTCTAAGGCCTGAATGATGAATGCTGGGTTACAGCCAAATAAAACTCATGTTTCCTCCCTTTTCATCTTACTCAACCTATAGGAATCTGGCAAATTAAGAGACTTTGCAAGTAGTTTCAGTCAGCTACCTAGACTTCTTTGAATGTTTCTGGATTCTCAAGTGTGACTTTGTTATTCTTTTTGTGCTGTTCAGCTCTTTCAGTCACGTCCAACTCTTCATGACTCCATTTGGGGTTTTCCTGGCAAAGATACTGGAGTGGTTTGCCATTTCCTTCTCCAGCTCTTTTTAAAGATGAGGAGACTGAGGCCAACAGTTAAGTGACTTGTCCAGGGTCACAAAGCTAGTAAGAGTCTGAGGCCACATTCGAATTCAGTTCTTCCTGACTCCAGGGCCAGTATTCTATCCACTTTGCCACCTAGCTGCCCTGTTGTTCTTTAGGGGAAATATAAAAACAATTGAGACAGGTGGTTGGTGCAGTGGAGAGAGCTAGATCTGGAGTCAGAGGACTGGGGTTCAAACTCCATCTCTGCCACCCCAGCTATGGTACCTGGGAAAGGAACTTTATCTCTGTGGGCTAGTTTCCTTATTTGTAAACAAAACAAATGAACAAACAAACAAAAAAAGGGACTGTTTATAATGACTTCTGAGGTCCCTTTCAGCCCTGAGTCTATAATTCTATGACCTTGGTTTATAATTCTGATTTACTCTGCAAAAATAGTAGCTCAACTCCTCAAACATAGAAATTACTGTGTTGTATGCCTCTTCAAAGAAGTTACAAGAATGGCCTAGTGAAGTAAGAGGATTTATTCAAATATCTGTGTCAGATGCTTGCTTAACACAACGAATGCCTAGGTAGCTTTAAATTCAATATTAAATGAAAATCTGGAGGCAGCATGAGGTAGTGGAAGGAGCAAACCCTTAGTTGGAATCCCTGCCCTCCTTATCAGCTGACCCTTACTACCTCCTGAGGCCCAGGTCTCCATCTGTAAAAGGAGGATTAGAGGAGATGATGGATCTCCATGGGCCTTCCAGCTCGAAATCTTAGGATTCTTTAGCATTCATGCAGTTCTTCCCATCATCAAAAGGATTTTGAAACCTAAGATCATTGCCATACTACTTGACACCACTGTTAAGGACACAAGAAAACTGAAACTAAGGTTAAATGAAGGTTAAATTAGTAGAAGCTAAAATAAAATTAAATTGCTTAAAGGCAGATGTCTGACAATCCCTTTTACTGCTTTGTCTTTCCCTTCCCCTGGGCTTTACCAGTTCATTCACTGTGTGACCCATGTTGCTGCTACATAGTAGAGGTTCAGGAAAGCTTGCGGTGGGGTGGGAAGAGGGGATGATGAGATATTGGCAGCTGGTACTAAAAGTCCTGAGGTTCCTATTCACATAATATGTCCACTAAAGAAAAGGATGGGCCTACCCTCATAAATGTACTAGTTCCCTCTCCCCCATGTTGTGTGTGATTTTGAGGTGGAAACTGGGGGGGGGGGGGGTAGGAGCAGGATTGAAAACAAATGGAAAAAAAAAGGTGAATGAGAAGACTAGATTTACAACTCCTTTCCAAATCCTCACATCTTTAGTCCTTACTGAAGACTTCAAAAAAATGTTTTTTAGTACAGCTCTAAATTCACTGGATTTAGATTTCCTAAGCTCATAATATTAAGAACTCCATTAGGCAACTGGGGAAGACATGAAGTTTAGATACTATGATAAATAGCTAACATTTATACAGTATTTTAACATGGCAAAGCGCTTTATATACATTATCTAATTTGAGCCAACACTGTTAAGTAGATACTGCAGGCATTACAATTATGACAGCTGAGGAAGACAAGGCATAGAAAGGTAAGTGACTTGGCCACAGTCATGCAGTTAGTGTCATAGTTGGGAGAGGGACTCAGGGCACTCCTGACTCTAAGCCTCAGGGAGCACACCGTTCACTAGGGGATAAGACACACAGATAGTTATAATTTGAAATAAAATGTCTTAGAAAATTGATAAAGTACTATAGGATATCTACCACGGAAGGTTGTGACAAAATGGGGAGATCAGGCAAGGCTGCCTGGAGTGACGATGAACTGGGCTTTAATGGATGAATATAAGTTAAACAGATAAAGAAGAAAAAAAGACATTCAGGGAGAGAGAACAGCATAAGCAAGGCACGGCAGAATGACAGCATTGTGTTTGTCTAAGGGTAAAGAGAGTTCCCCAGTCTGGACTAAGAATAACAGAGATGTGGAGAAGATGGTGCCAGCTTGTGGAGGTCCTTGATACCAGGCAGAGGAATTTGAACTTGACAGATAATATGAGCCACTAAAAATCTGGGGTAGAAGAGAGGCATGACAGGATCTATATAAGATTATTTTGGTGCCAGAACAAAAATGACATGGAATGGGAGAAAAGTTAGAAGAGAAAACCTCTAAGAACACTACTGCAGATGTACAAGGTGGTGGTAGTGGGAACACAGATGAGGAGCTGGACTTCAAAGATGTTTCAGAATTGAGGCTGATTTACAAAAACAAGAGCATTCCCCAATTGATAAATGTTCAAAGGATGTGAAAGGCAGTTTTCAGAAGAAGAAATCAAAGTTATCAATTTTTGTTGTTGAGTTGCTTTTTAGTCATGTCTGACTCTTCACAACCTTATCTGGGGTTTTCTTGGCAGAAATACTGGAGTGGTTTGCCATTTCCTTCTCCAGTTCATTTTTACAGATAAGGAAACTGAGGCAAATAGGATTAAGTGACTTGCCTAAGGAAGTGTCTGGGGCCAGATTTGAACTCAAGTCCTCCTGATTTCAGGCCTGGTGCTCTATCCACTGTACCACTTAGCTGCCCATATTTAAAATTTCTACCAAGCTAGAAAAGCCAGCCAATTTAGTCAATAAACATTTACTAAGTGCCTACGATATACCAGGCCTTGTGCTAAGGTTTAAGTACAGGCTCAGCCACAGTCTTTTGTACAAGGACAGTACAACTAACCTCAGAAGGCCTCACTAATAAGATAATTTTTTTTTTGGCTGTAGCAATTCTATAGGACTGTTCACTAAAACATAAAGGGGTTATGATTTGTTTGGTTGTCAACAGTACCCATACCAATGAAATCATGGATCCTAGAAGTTTCGAAGAGTAACTACATCTAGAGACGGCACTTCAGAGCCCCGGTATATTTAATGTGTTTAATACATTTATATTAACAATACACATTTATGTGACGCTTTAAAGTTTACAAAGCACTTTCCTCATAACAAAACTTTGAGGAAGGCAGTATAAGCATTATCAGTCCTACTTAACAGATGAGAAAACAGGTTCTCAAAAGTGAAACAATTTGCCCAGGGTCACACAGTTCATAAGTACTCAGGTCAGTATTCAAACCTAGATCTCCTGACTTTCAGTCAGGTGCTCTCCTGTACCACCGAAATTGTAGCATAAATTTCTTTTAAATGATCATAGAGATTTATAATTGTGGACATATAGAGCATAGTCTGAAGCCCTGGGTCTAAGTCTCATCTCTTTGGGACTTAGCTTTGTGATCCAAGACAAGCCACTATAATGTCTCTCAGCCTCATGTGCAAAAATGGAGATTAGAACCCCAGTACTAGTTTCTGAGACTGTCCATGTAAGTAAAACATCAATCAGTCTGTGTGAATGTAAGCTACAATTCTTGGTGAGGAACACTGTCCCTCATTTTAACATCGCTCCTATGAGAAAGGACTCTGCAATTAACTTCTTTATAACATGGTTTCTATGTATGCAATAAGATAAGAAGTTAGGAGAGCCTAGTTCCCCGATCCAAAGTAGCATGGCATGAGTTCTCAATGAAGCAACTTTAACAATTCAGGTGATCCAGTGGGAAAAAAATGAATTAAATCATAAGATCACAGATAACAAATTAAACTACTTAGCACAAATGGATAAAAAAGCCAAATAACTGATTTAAAAAATTTTCATATGGTTGCTGTGGTGTCATGCTTCAGAAGCTACATAATTTTTAAACTTCCATTTGAAAATGACAAGAATAGGGGCAGCTAGGTGGCGCAGTAGATAGAGCACTGGACCTGGAGTCAGGAGGACCGGAGTTCAAATCTGACCTCAGACACATAATACTCAAGTCACTTAACCCCAAATGCCTCACTAAAAAAAAAAAAAGACAAGAATAAAGCAGGCATGTAAGTCAAATCCACTCAACTGGCTAGCATTTTCTTTAATCACCCATTAGTAGTTACTGGCTGACTTGAGGGAAAAAACCCCCGACCTATTATGAGTTTACCTTACATATAGTAACTTTATAGTTTGCAAAGAGCTTTTCTCATAACAACTTTGTGGAGATACGTGATACAAACATCATCTCCATATTACAGATGAGAGAGATGAAGTGACTTGGTTAGAGCCTGGGCTACAACGCACGTCTTCTAATGCCAAGTTCAATGTTCCTACACTGACTAGGAAACATAGAAAAGCACAGCAGGGAACCTACCACTGCACTGGGGGAATGGATCTTCCCACTATAAACTTTAGGTTATTCCTAAGAGCAAATGACTTCAGGAAATGAGGAGGACCCTCTGTACTATTTCCACAGGCAAGCAGATGACTGTGAGATCCAGCATAATCTCTGAGGCAGTAATGAAAGTCTATACTGGAAATTTATCTATGTTGTGTATATATATAAAAATAACAACAAAAAAATGCAGCTTCAACCAAAAACATGTTATTTTTAGGAACAGCAGCAAAATTTAAGACATTTACATGACAGTTAATACACTTTTAATTATTTATGTATGCATTATTAAGCCAGATCTTTTCAGATTCAGATTCTTTTGTTCATCTTGAGCACTAAAATCTACAGAAAGTTTAAAGTACAAAAACAAAACCATTTTAAAGGATCTTCCAACTTCTAACATCACCTAAAAGTCTTGAACTGTTTTGTTGACATTTCTTTCAAACATTTCTGTGTGGGGCCTGAAGAGAACTACAATGTATTTTAGCCCTAAAGGAAATTTCTGAGTTTGTCATGGGAACCTGAAAAATAGGGTTTACAATGGATTGGCTTATATCAAGCTGTCACTGGCAGAGACAACCAAGTTTGAAGGCTGAATTCTTCAAGGAGCTAATGATGGGCTCAGCTTCCGTTAAAAAGCAGAACTAAGTGTTGTTTTTTTTTTAAACTAGCTATTATAGTTAGTAGCTACATACTTTTCTTCTTCACTTTAGAGAGCCTAAAAGTAGCTCCTATTTTAAGTTAAATCTCTAAGGATCATCTTTGGATGGGAGGTTTGTTTTAAAAGCAAGTTCTAGAGCATTTTGGTCAAGACAGACAGAATCTCTCATCTTTCATCTCTCTTAAAATAAGCTACTGTCTTCTTCACATACTAAATAGCCCTAACTCTCAGTAGATCAAAACAATGGAATGTGTATTTTTACAGTCTGGGAATAAGACAGAAATTCTGTACCCACAATTTTCAAATCTTTCTGTGCTGTCAGCGTTTTTTAAAAAAGGACAATTTAAAAACCTGAACGACTAGTTAATAACACTGTCCAAGTTTGGAAAGCAAACACAATAAAGGAATGCAACCCCAAACCCCACATAATTCTATCATTCAATAAAATGGTCTCAGGATTGTTAAGTATCCTTTAGTACCATTTATTACGATAATCCTCAATTTCATGGGCAAACCATTCTATAGCTGTGGAATACTGTGGTTATGCCAAAGGCCTGGATTAGGCTCACTGCAATGAACTTCCAGAAAAAAATGACCATGTGCAGAGATGTTAAAAGTTGACATGTACTTGCCTCTCCATTCGGCATTCTAAATATTCTTTTGATTCATTTCTGCACAAAGTATTTTCAAAATTATTATCACGAAGACACTTCATGAATTTTTCTTTAAAAGCTTTACATTCACCTAGAATAAAAAAAAAATTCTTTTAAAAAATGAAAACCTGTCACTATAAAATGAAATCATTCCTTGTGAAAAACTTCCCTCAGGAATAAACATACATAATGCTGAAAAAATTACTTACAAATATATTTGTTGAGATTAAAATTCTATTCACACCCACCCATTATTGGATTAGAACTCTAGTCACAAACATGTATATTTTGGTAACATTTTTAAAGCTTGTACTAAGTATAGTCGAAGACTTCATTTTTCATTCAAAGCCACTGTCCTATGAGTTGTAATTATTTATAATTAGCAAAAATAATTATGTGTATGCCATTTCTCCAAAGAACTCAATTCTCCTAATATAATTACCATTTCTGGGCAGGAAATCACAGAATTCAGTCAACATAAAAATGACTAGAAGTCTGTTCAAAGATTTGGTATGTATTCTGGGCAATTATGACACTTGTAAAGACTATTCACAAAAAAGGAGTAAATATCACAAAATGAAGCAAAGCCAAAAGGAAAAGACAGGCATGTCCCTACTTTAAAGAAACCAATATGAAAAACTCCTGATAAAGTGGAGGCTGTTTGCATTATAAAATGATTCACAGCAAGTTTTATTAAATACTAAGCCTTAGTACATATTTGAATTATCTGATTTATATATAAATTTATGGTAACATTTATTAAAATATTCATATTCTTAAAACAAGATACTCATACAAAAATTTCTGATAACTGTCCAATAAACTGTACAAGGACTTCATAAATTTGATTTTCCTATTCTATTTTTATTAAATTTAATCTTGAAGAACTTGAAAAAAATTGCTAAGTATTAAAAGTTTGTACTAGTTTATGCAAATTCTTTCCTAATCCAACCTAAGAGATTCTTGACTAAAAAAATTTTCCATTTCTGCCAATGCTCTAAATAATAATTATTTTACTACCTGTATCCTCAAAATACTTGCTGAAAATGCTAAAAATCCATCTTTAGAGACCTTAATACATTATATTAGCTGTTCTTAAGGTCCTCTGCGTGCTGAATTCATATTTTTGTCCCATGAGTATGTATACAGGAGAACAAAGGACAAGAGATGGGTCAGGAGGAATGGGCTACTATCTGCATAGCTGGAAGACCCAAATCACCGTTCCATGTAAGTATCAAAGTTTCAAAGTACTTCTTGAAGGGAAGTTTGGCCGTTTATTTTTCTAGGATGGATTTAGTAGTTAAAAAAATTTTTTTTGTTAGTCTGAATTACTCACTCAAGTCGGCTTATTAAATCAAATTCCTGCTCATTCTATTCTTTACTTCAACAAACACTTTCCAGCTGTACACCATTTTAAAGCATAGCACTTCTAACACCAAGATTCAGAAAATTATGGGTCAGGCTTTTTAAACCTGTTTTTCTCCCCCTATATTTTTGGCCTAACTATGAGGTAACAAAATGAACAAAGTTCTTTTTAAAGGAACTGCAGACAGTGTGTATTTTCCCTTTTCTGTTCAGAGGAAAAGACTTTAAAAGTAACTATAAGCAGATATTTAAAGTATGGTTTATGTATATAATATTTGCACCAAGATATATGTCATCATGGTATCTTCATGACAAGGACAGATGTCTACCTTCCTAATTATATAAGAGAAAAAAGTCTATCATCTAAGGAAAGAATGTTGCCTTTAAAATGGAAGATAATCCCTGTCTATCTTAAAGCTGAAATTTTGGTAAAATCACAAAAGCATTAACAACCTATCATAAATACTTGCTATACAGGGCATCCCCAAAGTCTTAGTGTACTAAAACTTTTGAACACCCTGTATTTTTCTCATTATATAATTACACAAGTTTGTAAAGTGTGTTGTCAAAAGATTCACTGATTGCATCTTCTTCATAATCTTCTAAAGCAGCATTTGTAAACTGTGGAACTCTGGCTTATGTAGCAATGGGAACAGGGATTCCAGGAGCATATAGTGACATACATGGGTGACACTTCCCTAAACCATTAAATATAAAATTGTTTGTGTGAAAATTACTTATAACTATCATTAAGAGAGAAAAAATGAAACCTATTTTAATCCAAGATTTTTCCAACTCCCCCTTATCTATCTAAGGACTCCTGAAGACATTTATGGGTTTTGTTAACATACTGTGAATCCAAAAGTATTCTCTGGACAAAACAGTTTGGGATATACTGTTCCAATGCACTTAATATTAAAAACTGGATGTGGAAAAAAAAAGGATATAAAAAGCATCAGGCATTTAAATTGTTAACTACTCCTCACTGCATTAAGGGAGAAGAAAGCCTAAATATTTTTCTTACACTGTCCTTGGGTGGAATATCTTCCAATCACCTTTACAGCTGCTCATTTTAAGCCAATCAACCTTTGGGAATGGGTAAGAAACAAAATTATGGCAAGATAACAATGGCCAAAGATGTAGCTGAAAATTAAACAGGATGTAAATCACTTTACTCCCTGAAGAAGCACGCTGGGTGGTATAGGGTTGGCCTCTCAACAGGACCATGCTCCAGCACTAGCTGGGGGTTGGTATTTTTTGTGTTCCCCAGCCCCAGCCTGGCACAGAGCTGAAAAAGACAGCACCTTCCAGACATTCATTCCTTCAGTTGGTCTCAGGACTTGTTCCCACTACGCCCTTTGGGGAATGAGGTGAAGCACAGATTTAAGAGGGATGAAGAGGCCATCTAGTTGAATCTCCTCATTGAAAGAGGAGGACAGAGGCCTAGAGGGGTTAAGTAACCTGTTCAAGGTCACAGAGAAAGTGCCAAGGCTTGGATATGAATCTAGGACTCCTCATCCCAAATCCAACCATCTCACCCACATCCCAAGGGTGTATGGCAGTGGGTAAGGGGAAAGGGAACAGAACAAGCCCAGTTTCTATCAGAGACTTTTTTTTCCCCTTCTCAAATGCATAAAGAAGCATCCTCAAAGAGATGGGTGGGTGGGATGAGGTTGTTGTTAAGCAGTAGCTTAGCTTCAGTGGGACACCTCTTGCCAGGGCTCAGGAAGGCTTAGGGGCATTAAGGGTCAGGAGGGGAGAGGAAAAAAAAGGGAAGGGGAGAGGGAGGTCAGAAGGAGAAGAGGAAGAAGAAGGAAGGGAAGGGAAAGGGAGAAGGGGAGGGGGGGAAGGGCCAGAAGGAGAGAAGTAAAAGGAGAGGAGGGGAGAGAGGAGGGAGGAAAAAAGTAGAAGGAAAGAGAGGGGGAAAAATGGAACTGAGAGAATAGAGGGAACAGAAGAAGGGGAAAGGGGATAGGAAAAAGTAAGTGAAGAGAAGAGGGGAGAGCAAAGAGGAAGAAGGAAGGGAAGAGATAGGAGGTGGAAGGGAGAATGTGCAAGGATGGGGAAGTGGAGGAAGGGGGGAGGGAGGTCAGAAGAGAAGGGAGGGAAGGAGAAGAAAAGTAGGAGAAAGGAGGGAAGAGGAAGGAGGAAGGGAGAGAAAGGTGGGTAGGAGGAAGGAGAAAGAGGAATAGACAGAAAGGGAGAGAAGAGGAAGAAAGGAAAAGGGTACAGTGGAGGGGAATAGGAGAAAGGGGAGAGAGAAGAGGAGACAGGAGGGAAAGGAGGCGGGGCTACAGGCGAGGGTATGGGATTGAGGGGAATGGGGGAAGGGAAAAAGAGGAGAGGGACAGAGGAGGGGAGGGAGCCAGGGTGAGAGGAAAGATGAGGAAAGGGGCAGGGGGACAGGGAAGGGGAAAAGAGGGGAGAGAAGAGGCAGGAGGGAGATGAGAGAGGGGAATAGGAGGAGAGGGCGGGGAGTCTGGGAAGAGAAGGGGGCAGAGGGAAGGGAGAGAGGAGGGAGCCTAGGGAGGCAAAGGGGGAGGGGCAGAGATATGGGGGGGAGGAGGGGGAAAAGTGGAAGAGGGGAGGGGTGCAGAGACACGGGGAGGAGGGAGGGAAGAGGGGAGGGGGCAGGGGAAGGAAAGGGACAAAAAGAGGGGAGGAGGAAAGGATGAGAAGAGGGAGGAGATAGGAGTGGGGGAGGGGGACGGGGGGAAGGAGCGGAAGGGGGAGGGGAGCAGAGGCCGGGCCGGAGGGAGGGGCTCCTCACGCTCACGCCCCCTCCCCGCCAGCCCCCCAGAAGTCCCCCTCTCGCTCCACAGATCCCTCCTTCCCCCGCCACACCCGCTCCCCTCGCCGGCGGCAGCTGGCCACAAGGGCCGCTGCTCACCGAAATGGTCCAACGGGAAGCTGCCCTTCTCTGGGGGCCGGGGCTGGAAGCTCTTGGTCCCGAAGTTCATGGCGGTGGACATCGTGATCGCAGGCCTCTAAGCACGGGCCGGGAGCCCGTCACACCCGCAGCGGAGCGCCGAGCCGTTAGCGGCCAGGCAGGCAGCCTCAGCGGAGCGCGGAGATGATCGAGCAGGGCCAATCGATGCCTGCTGACTGTCCCCGCCTTCTTCAGGCCCCGCCCCCTTCGCCTCCCTCCCCTCCCCCAACAATGATCGTTATTGTTATTTTTTAATTCTGGGGAGCTGTTGGGCCGGCGTGCGGGGTCTTCCGCGGGTTTCGAGAGCAGTTCGTTGGATCTTAGATTTAGAGGCCATCTAGTCCACCCCCCTCATCTTCTAGGTGAGGAAGCTGAGGCTCAGAGGTTTTGTGACCTGTTCTGGGTCGGTGACATACCTACTAAGTATCTAAAGTGAGATTTGAACTTCGCTCTTCGCGATTCCTAGCCCCAAATGGAAGATATGATCCCACTTCTCCATCTGGGTTACTACCCACTCCCATCCCCGGTGCCTTCTCTGTGAGAGTTTGTTCCATTTAAACTATATGACATATGTGACAACTTTTAGCATGTTGTGTCCCCCTCCCCCATTAGAATGTGAGCTTCCTGAGGGCAGGCACCTCTTTTGTGACTTTATTTGATTCCTCATTGCCTAGCACACACAAATTTCCTGGCACATAGAGGTGGACCGATTTTGGCAGTCAACCCACAAGCATTTATTAGTGGCCTGCTTCTTTGGGCCAAGCCTTGTAGTGTGCACTGGAGATATAAAGACAAAAAGGTTATAAAGGCCTAGAATTTCAGAGCTGAAAGGGACTCAGCGGCCAAATAGTTCAACCCAAACTCAAGAAAATTTTTTCTGCAACATACCCTACAACTAGTCATTCTCACCCCTTTCCCCCATCCTCCCTGCCCCCAACCCTTTTACCTTTCTTTGTGTAATTACATTTATTAAGTGCCTACTGTGTGTCACTGTGCTTAGTGTTAGGGCAAATGAGGCAAAAGACAGTCTCTGCCCTCAAGGAGCTAACGCTCTAAGGGGGGAGACAACAAGCAAACGCGAAGTAAGCTATGTACAGGATAAATGGGAAATAATTATGAGAGAAGGAACTAGAATCAAGAGGGATTGAGAAGGGTTTCCTGTAGAAGGTGGGTGAAACCCTTAGCTTCCCAATTTTAATTTGGGGCAGCAATAATTGTTTTATTTATCCGTGCCCTCTAGGAGTTTATTACTGTCCAACTAGGAAGACAGAACATGCTCAAAGATACATACAGAATAAATATGAAGTAGGAGTGGGGGGAAAGGGGAAGAAGGCTGAGAAGATCCTGCTGGAATAAAGTCCTCTTGAAATATAGGCTATTACCCAATTGATAAATGGTCAAAGTATATGAACAGCAGGCAACTTTCAGATGAAGAAATTAAAGCTATCTCTAGTCATATGAAGAAATACTCTAAATCATTATTGATTAGAGAAATGCACATTAAAACAACCCTGAGGTAGCACCTAACACCTATTATATTGGCTAATATTCCAGAAAAGGAAAATGCTAAACATTGGAGAGGATGCATTGTTGGTGGAATTGTGAACTGATCCAACCATTCTGGAGAGCAATTTGGAACTATGCCCTAAGGACTATAAAACTGTGCATACACTTTGATCACCAATACCGCTACTAGTCTGTATCCTAAAGAGGTCATAAAAAAGAGGAAAAAACCCACACGTACAGAAATATTTATAGCAGCTCTTTTTGTGGTGTCCAAGAATTGGAAATTGAGGGGAAGCCCATCAACTGGGGAATGGCTGAACAAGTTGTGGTATATGAATGTAACAGAATACTATTTTGCAATAAGAAATGATAAGCAGGCGGATTTCAGAAAAATCTGGAAAGACTTGTATGAACTGATGAAAAGCGAAATGAGCAGAACCAGGAAAATTTTGTATGCAGTAACAGCAACATTGTATTGAGATCAACTATGAATAACTTAGCTCTTCTCAGCAATACAATGGTCCAAGACAATTATAAAAGACTTCCGGGGGAAAATGCTGTCCACATCCAGAGAAAGAACCATAGAGCCTGAATGCAGATAGAAGCATACTATTTTCACTTACTTTATTTTTTTTTTGGTCCTTTCCTTTTGGTCTGTTTCTTCTTTCACAACTGTGACTAATATGGAAATATATTTTACATGTCTGCACATATATGACCTATATCAAATTTCTTGCCTTTTTAGGAAGAGGGGAAGGGAGGGAGAAAAATTTGGAACTCAAAGGCTTGTAAAAATGAATGCTAAAAATTGCCTTTACATATCATTGAAAAAAAAAATACTGTTTAAACAAAAGAAAAGAAAGGCCTCTTGAAGGAGGTAGCATTTGAACTGAGCCCTGAGATGAACTAGGGTATTCTAAGAGGCTTAAGTGAGGAGTGAAAGCCTTGATGACAGACAGGTGCAAAGATACACAAAAGGAGATTAGGAGGGCTGGAGCAGTAAGAAGGAGTAAACAGCCTGGAAGGAAAGGCTGGAGCCAGATTGTGAGGGACTTTAAATGGGAGGCAAAAGAATTTGTGTTTTATCCTTGAGGCAATAGGACATTGAAGTTTCTAGAGATAGGGAGTAACAAGGTCAGACCTTTTCCCCATTTCCCTGCAGCCCCAGTCTCCCTCCTAAGACCTGGATGTCAATGAAATCACTTAGGGTCATAGGTTTGTAGCTGGAAGGCAACTATCCCCACCCCCTCTCCATTTTGCAGATGGGGAAACTGAGGCACAGAGAAATTTAGTGATTTACCCTAGGGTCTATGAATCTCTACTGTTTGCAAAAGCCCTGTAAACCATAGACTTAGCTCTCCCAAGTTAACTCCTCCTTCCCCTCTCCTCAAAACAAACAAACAAAAAAACTTAGTCAAAGCTGTGTTTCAAATAATAATGCTGTAACAATGCATGCAAACTCTAGCCTAATCTGTTTCCATTAGGGTAATAGTTCCCAGAGGAGGAAGGGGAAGTGACCCTGTGTAAGTGGAAGCTCAGTAGTGACTCCAGAAGACAAATCAGGGAAAGAGGAGGTGAGTGAGTTAGTTCTGAGGCAGTGTAATATACAATGGAAAGATCAATGGATTCAGAGTTAGAGGACTCTGCTAAGTGAAACAGATTATTGCACTCTGGGCCTTTATTTTCTCATCTAAAAAATGAGGTGATTGGATACCCTTCCATATCTAAATTCTATGATATAGCCTATTATATAGTCAGTATATATGTAACACATATTCATTACATTATATATAACGTCTATAGTATATATTATATTCAGTATACGTGGCAACTAGGTGGTACAGTGGATAGACTGCTGGGCCTGAAGTCAGGAAGACTCATTTTCTTGAGTTCAAATTAGGCCCCAAACAATTACTAGCAGGAGCAACTAGGTAGCGCAGTGGATAGAGCACCGACCCTAAAGTCGGGAAGCCCTGAGTTCAAATCCAGCCTCAGATCAAACACTTGAAACTTACTAGCTGTGTGACCCTGGGCAAGTCACTTAACCCCAATTGCCTAAAAAAAAACCCAACACACACACACACACAAAACCCCCCAAAAACCACTTACTAGCTGTGTGACTCTGGGCAAGTCACTTACCTCTGTTTGCCTCAGTTTCCTCATCTGTGAAATGAGCTGGAGAAGGAAATGGCAAATTACTCCAGTGTCTTTGCCAAGAAAACCCCTAATGGGACCACGGAAAGTCTGAAATGACTGAACAAGAACAGCATATTTGATATATAAAATATTATATATTCAGTGTACATAATGTATAAAATATACTGAAGTCGGGAGAGCCTAAATGCATGGAGATTAGTTACAAGACTATTACAAGTGTCTAGATAAAAGGTGATGAGGGCCCGAACTAAGGTGATAGCTATATGCATAGAGATCAGATGAAAGAGATGGGAAGATAGAAATGGTGAAATTTGGGATCTGATTGGATATGGGGGGTGAGTGAGAATGAGGGTAATACCAAGGTCCCGAAAGGAACAATGGGTGGGGTCTTCAGCAAAAGTATGGAAGTTTGGAAGAGGCAACATTATTTGGGGGAGGGAGTGAGGAGATAATGGGTTCTTTTTTTGACCACCAAGCCATGTCTTGCTAGGTATGTGTTAGGTGCCAGATTTTTACATCATGCAGTGATCTTTTGCACAATTTCTACCATTTCCTTGCATCATCTACCTGGGTGGCTAAGTCTGGGCTCCTTAAGGTTACGCCTTCTGTAATTTCATGTGGAAATGACCTGATCTTGGATTATCCATGTAGATCCCTCTCCTGTCCACAAAGACATCCTCATGACTCAGCCTTTTGTCGCTTCTTTGTCAATGTATTGTTGGCCAAGTTCTTGCAGATGTCCTCCAGAGCCATTTCGTAGGTTGGAGGTAAACAGTCTCTAAAGATGCCAAACATGAAATACTCAAGCTGAAGAGGACCTTGAGAAATCTTCCCACTTTGGTCTGGTCCCCTGACTCTCTAGGTAGCATCCTATCTAAAACATCTCAAGCAGCTAAGGACTTATTTTAAGAATATTCACTGATAGTGATTGGGAAACCTTCTTTAGGCATCTTTTCCATTGTAACTGACAGAAAATTCTTTCTTCGAGCTCATTTAAATCCTGTAAATCACATATATGAAATTTTTATATATGTTTATATAAACAATGTTATTATGATATCACAAAATATTGATCCCATTAATATATAGCAACAATATTAATAACACACACTGATATAATATGTAAGTATATTAATATTATATTATAATACATTAGTAATATAATAAAATATAATATTACATAAATCTATATTTGTGCTACGTCTGCAATTTCATCAATATGGGGAACTCCCAGCCCAGAAACTCTTTCCAATGATGCAGATCAGCAACTTGTATATAATTTATAATAATAACTAGCATTTATATAACTTTAATGTTAACAAAGTGTTTTAAAAATGTTATCTCACATGATCCTCAAAACAACCCTGGGAGGTAGATGCTATTATTACCCCTATTTTACAGATGAGGAACTAAGGCAAATAGAGGTTAAGTGTCCTGCCCTGGGTCACAGAC